AATTTTGAATTAAGGTAGATTTTGAGTACATCCTCAAAGCCTGGGCAGGAGTGCTTCTCCATGGTAGATATAAGTGATTGTTGGGATTTGCTTGGATTCTTTGCAATAATGATATGACAATCCTGAGACTTGGCACAAAGGAAAACATCTTCATCATCTTTTTCCATGCTCATTTTAAGATAACTCTCAAAAGCAAATATTTTTTCCCTATGCAGTAGCCAGGTGATCATTTAAGGAGCTTCAATCCTCTTATTGGAGGCCCTCCATCCATCTTTAGCAAAGTCTATATGAAATCTTTCAAATAATTAGCCTTGCTACCTCCGGCTGATTGCACGGCTAGTTATCCTCTTGAATTGTCTTTGCAGGCCTCCTTCAATATCTCTTGGATAAATCTGAGACTTTGGAGGTTTGTGAGCTATTTTTGCAGCGGGGATTTGGCAGCCACGCTCAAAAGGACCAACAACCTGAGATGCCACACGTCTGAGTCTAGAGTCATTGCTGTACATGTCAGCGCCACCTGACATTGCAAGAATGTCACGCACGTTACGCAACACTGTGATGTTCAAAAGATTCGAGCTCATTTTCTGACACAGCAAGCTTGAGAACGCCCTTCTTAGCATAGAATTTATATCGTTCTTGTACACTTTGCACCTTTTCTCAATTAACATGGAGACATAGACCAACTTTGAGTGATTGGAGAGAATATAGATATAATGACATGTTCCTCGAGTCAGTGAGTACTGTACTATCTACTCATCCTACCCGTCCCCAGAGCTCTCAACAATCTCTCAGCTCATTGCACTTTGACCCTGCACCCCTCCACGGCCTCTTTGTGCTGGGGCAGCTCCTCTTCCACCCTATAAGGCATCTCCTTGCTTGCACTTGGTACCAGCGTCTGAGCGCTATTTTCGTGGTTTCCCAATGATTTCTCCAGCCTCTTGACATCTTTCTAGGTCGAGTTTATGGGCCATTTGTTGGAGTCTTGTGAGCTTCTCCTAATGGCACTCACCAGTCCTTAAGGAGTTGTGAAGGGTTTGTATATCACTGACAGTTCCTATGAAGGATGGATTGACAAATTTCAGGCTAGTGGGCCAATTAACCAACCGGACCTTGTGGGTTTGCACAATGGCGGTCTTGTAGTTTACATAGTTCATGGAAACTGCTCCATTGTTGAGTAAGCGCTCTATGAAGTCTGTAGTTAGCTTTGTTGAATATAAAGCTTTGAAACTTACTGAGGCCAGTCTGGATCAACTCCACACATTGGCTGCATACAACAGCAAGTGTATCACGTTCCGACGTGTCTACAATACATCGTCAGTTAGCTTGCCAGTGGAGTGGGAAAGGACTTACTCTGGTTACAAGTGCATGCCCACAACGCAAACAACCTTGAAACCTCGCCGGGATCAATTTTGAACACGCCTTGAAGAAAATTCAGTGAATTATCACTGCCGTACCACGTTGGCTGTGCAAGATTGTTGATATGCCCAGGAGTGACAAAAAAAAAGCCGTACATTCCCATTTGTAAGGAAAGGTTATCAAGCTAGCAGAATACCTAATCAAAATACATGTAAAATAGATGATTATAGGGGCATACCTCCTTAATCATGCTATCAGCTGTGCACATAACGTCTCTAGCTGCTGTGGCATTGTTCAATTGCATGCTTGTGGCCTTGTGTATGTGATTGTCGGCCAATCTTTGGAGGAGCTCCTCTTTTTGTTCTTCTGACAGATCTTTTTTGTCCTTTGTGGTTCTGTAGCTCAATAAGGTCCTTCCTTTCTCCCAGAATCAAACCTAAATATGAGAACCAGTTAGATATGTTTATAACCACAGGCAAAGTGTAAAGTACGTACTTGGATCTATTTCTAATGCTTTGGCATGTAATATAGCATTGTGAAGCTGTGGTTTTCGCGCCTTCATGTAGTGAGTGTATGCAATTACCATATTCTTAACCTTTTCCACCTTTACATCATGATTTTTGGCAATGTCCATAATTTTATTATTTTGCTCTTTTACAAATGTAATGATGTCTTCATCGAGCTTCTTGAGCATGTTGTTTTTTACTTCCCTTGCAATACTTCTCGAGGCCTTTGCAGCATCAGTAAGTGGCCGCGGAGGAGGGCAAACAGGTAATGTCCTTCTAGTGGGATTGCGTGAGGCCTGTGCCAATTGCCCCTCTGTAGGATGAACACTGCCAGAAGGGAGTGTTGCTCTGTCACCAAGAGGGATAGACGCGCCCAATGTGCCGCTGAATATATTAAAAGCCTCTTTTGGTGCACCCTGCAATAAATCAGTTGGAGGCAACATGCCAGATAGATCAAGTGGGGGCAACATGCCAGATGGATTAGGTGGGGACAATGTGTCGGATGAATTGACTGACACATCTGGTTCGACTGTGGCTGACTGGTTAGATATACTGTTTGCCGGGGTGTCTGGGAGTGGGGAGGTTGCTGGTGGGTGTTCATGTATGCTCCAAGGGCTGCTAGGCATCTTGTCTGGCCTGTGATCTACAGGAAACTGGGGCTCTGAGGAAAGTGGGTTGAACCAAAAGGGGTATGGTGTATCCCGCATTATAGGTGATCTCGTAGATGAGCTTGTCTCCTTTGGCCAAGAGGCTAACAACAGGTCCAAGGTTCGACTCCAAAATATTGTGTCATCTAAGTCTGCATCCGGTACATAACTTGTACAATCCTCCAGCTTGTTCCTCCGAAAACCATTATTTCCAGATGTTATCAGTGCAGGGGGGACTTCCAGAGGATTGTTTAAGAAATTCCAAAGTCTCTCCCTCTCGCCTTCATCCTGCGCCATTCCCTGAAACATCTCATTTGGAGGAGGGAAATTGAATTTGGACATGGATGGATAGAGGCTGCTTCTTTGAAGTGACAATTATGTCTTGGGGGGTCTCTGATTGGGGGGGGGAGGGGAGGAGGAGCCGACCTTTTCTGTATTACACTTCACTTGTACACATGCCAATAAAAAAAAATATGCCGGTGTTTTGGCCAAAACGGCCTAGTAGGACCACCAAATATTAAACCTGCATCAACATTAAATGAATTTTGGGGCAAGAAATATGATAACTAAATATAATAATCACAAAAGATCATCACAATATCACAGTGGCAAATGTTGGTATCACGTGCAAGTGAGCCAAAGTTTCTGATATATGATAACAGTCAGCTTAGTTTCATTTAAAAGTTATAACACCAAGTGACGAGTACTTACCTTTGGTGAGCGTGGAAGGTTTGGTGTGATGATAGCGCATTGGCTCCTCTTTGCAGTGAGTTGATATGATTACTGGATTGGGGAGGAAATGTAGCACATACAACAATAGATAAATACTTGATCCATCATTGAACAGCTCAAGAATGAATGTAAGTAGTGAGAATAGTGGAGAAAGGCATTAATCAGCTCGGAACACAAACATGTTTACAATGCACCATGTCACCATGTAGGACTGTAATATGTTTACTCCAAGGGTGTGCTTGATTTCTCGATTGCCCCTATGGTTGCATTGCCAAAGGATAGGCATGTCGGGATTGCATATGACGTGCGCCCACCACAGCTCAGCATTCAGTGCTCGGGTGTGATTTCAGTGTATGCCCCTAAACTGATACTAACACCAGTAATGGACTTACCGGTTATTGCAGAAAACACCAGCCACCCAACTGTCACAAATGCTCATGCCTTGGGATTTGGGGGAACTGCTATTGGAATGGTGAATGAACTGGGCAAAGAATAATGATGGAAATCCAAGCACTCACAGCCAATGTTCATACAATATGAAATGTCAAGACTTACTGTTCCTAGCAAGTTTTGTGCAAAATAATGGGTTGGTTTGAAGAGATTGCAGCTTGAAATGTGCTTGAATGACTTGGACTGTGAGTGATGCTGAATGAATGTGGTGCATGCAGAATTTTTGGTTTACAACAAAGATTAATATAAACTCCAGTGATTTGAGCAAAGATTTGGGATCAAGTAGGATATTGTCAGCTCATCCATATCTCACGTTCTCTCATGCTCTTGAGAAATTTATTGTACCACAAACGTATCACAAATAAATCAAACAAAATCATAAATTCAAAGACTGCCTGAAAATGTATATGTATTCACTACTACATAGTTGTTGTCCAGCCCTCTAGATATTGACTTGGTTAAATTCTTCGGCCAAGTCATCCACCTATTCCCAATATATATCACTTGACCTCCTTGACTGTCCATCACTTGATGCTAGAGACGGAGGTGATGGTAAGTCTTCGTGCCTAGGAGCTGACGAAGAAATTGGTGGTGAGCGCTCTGGTGTTGAGGCTTGGATAATGTGTAACTCCCCCAAATGATAACTACCAGCGTATATTTGTAAAGCCTCTTTGAAGCTCTGGTATTTGTAGTGTTCCGCTACATTGACTTAATCTGTACGTAGCAACACATCTCTTCTGGGTGTGGATTTATCAATGGAGAAATAGCCTAGAGGGAAAAAACTACTTACTGTGTGTAGAACAAACCGACTTCCCGCCTGACAATGATCACAAAATATCCTTCAGGTACCATACCAGGTTTAGGAGGGCTGATGCTGCTGGGATGATGGATAGATGGAGTAGAACTAACGGGGGCTGCAAGCTCATCAGAATCAGTGGCCTTACTCATTGCTGAGACAGAGTGTCTTGTCACTCTCTCCCTGTGCCTGGACATCACAATGGGGATGGTTGTCACAGTGCGCAAGCTCGTTGTGATAGTGGTTGTAGTCTTGGTCCGTGTCTTGTTAGTATGCTCTGTAACGACAGTCTCACTGTTCAAAGTCATCTAGCTAGTGATTAGTAGGCTTGAGCATTGAGAGTAGAAAGAAATATATGCACCAGAATGTCAAGATATGAGTTGGATTGAAACAGATGTAGTGAGACGGACCTTTTCAAGATCAAGAGTGACGGCTCTGCTGATTATCAAGATTCTCAGGCCACCGCCACAACCACCTGAGCCTGACCGTATTTTTGATTGTTGAACGTTGAATGATCAACAACATGAAGTATATATCAAGTCCAGGACATACCAAACAGGATCTACAAAAATATGAGCAAGCACCCACAAAATTGAAACAGCTTATCTCACATGAAAGTGAGATTTTCTGGCCCATCACGCGATCAATATGGACAAAAAATTCAGCAAGTCTGTGAAATCGTTGGACCCACTGCTCTGGCTCAAAGGTCTGCAGATGTCTCAAAACAAAGGGAAGATTGTCTACGAGGTAAGCAACTTGATGATATTCAAGTAGAGAAGCTCACCAATTGTTTGTAAAGAGATGACTGCCGATGAGCAATGCGTGCTGGAAGCCTTATGTGACCCACCAGTTCTATGTGATAACGAATCACTCAACTTTGACAACCACCTTTAACGTAATATGGAGGTAGTGCTGGATGGATCTGAGCCAGTTGAGATCAGTCATGCAGGTGGCGAGTTTGAGGCATTGACGAGAGAAATCTGATCTGACTTGTGGAAAAGGTGAGTTGGTGTAGCAGTATCCTACTGACCTTATGTTGATAACACTTTGTGCTCAATAGGCACTATCAGCGTATTCCTTGTCGCGTAGATTACCGGATGCGTTGCAACCACATACACAGGCACAACCTGGCCTTTCAAGAACAACTTCCTGCACTTATAGACACATATATGGAGTGGTGTCTCAACTGCTCAGACTTAACTCACCAAGCAGAGCATACTATGGATCCTAGCATGGGTGGGATGGGATTGCTGAAAGTGGAAGTAGTGGACACATTCAGTACGTACAACAAGTAATTGCACGTGTGATTCTAATGTGACTATAGACGCTTGCAAACAGGTTCTTGCAATTCTTCCCACCGACCAGTTCATCACCTCTGCACTGGTTAGACAGGGTGTCATGCCTTGCTCACCCATCTCTCCAACAGTCGGTATCACCTCAGATACACTTAAGCTATACTGCGTAGCTCATCTTCGGACATTTTAAATATCAATCCAGGCCTTTGTCAAGACATTATGGCACCTTCATGGGGTGAGTCTCAGTATGATCAGCGTATATTTCTCACTCATTTTATTCCAGGTTCTTTTTTGTCGTTATCTGTCCCGACAATTTTCCATAGCTTTCAATTTATACATGTCTATTAGGAGCAGGGTAAAAATGCTGGTCAGGACTGCCTTGAACCGTGAGTTGTGTGACTGGTGCCTGAAGCATGTCTGTCCAGCATGCACATATACCATCAAGGGGGAAGAAGAGTTAAAGTTCCGGATGCTCTATACAATGGATGGTAATGACTCATTGAAGAAAATTGTTAGAAGGGCCACTCCCGAGGTCAACAACCAGTTTGTAGGCGAGATTTGTGAACTTCCAGACTCCAGGGAGGTTGACGGAGATAGATAATCAACAAGACAGTCTGTAGATAAGTGGGCACATGGAGTAATACAGGAGATGATGAATGGAGCAAATGATGCAGTGAGTGATTCATTATATTCGCATTATGTTCTAACTAACAGTAACCTAAACAAACAGAATCAGAAGAGAATCCCTGTGTGGGTTGTTGAAAAAACATGAAGGACGATGCTTTGAAGAAGACATGGGCCATTTATGATGAGACAGGGATATTTCTTTCTCTTTGCAAACATGGATTTTCTCTTGTCATTGCAGACATGGTTCAAAGCGGCGAATTGTAAGTATTTGCATTTTATTCAGGTTAATTTTTATATATACATCTGTAGGGCAAAATACCCTTTGGCGGTGGTGGAAGAGATCCTCAACACATTTGGGGAGGATATAGCAGGCGGGTTTGATATTAACTGTAAATTCAAGGCCACCCTCAGTAAAAGCCTGTGAGCTTGTGCTCTACGCCATGCATGTCTTGTTGGCGCCTTTCATGGACATGCCCACCGCTGTCTTTGCCAACTTTCACATCTTGCCACGTATACTGAAGGCCTTGGTCTTGAGAATCTTGAAGGCTGTGAGAGAGCATTCTCAAAGTCCAACACTTTGGCTGGCTCAGTCCAATATGCCATCACCAAAGACAGGCAATTGACGCTTACTTTGGACACGAGGATGAATTTGAAGTATACTACAACCTCAGTATGTACTAGATCTGTGCTACGCAAGATATACTGACACCTAATCTTCTATTAAAGCCAGCTTCTTGTACAACAACTACCAACAAGCTCTGGATATGTTGTCCGAGAGTTCCATTGGACTTAAAAACACAGTCCATGACCTTGGTGTGATGGATGAGAGTGTATTCAAGCAATGGCTGAAAGAGGAGAAAGAATATTTGATGAGCTTGCAGAAAAAACCCACCGAAGAAACATTACACATGGAGTATTGGCAAAAGCTGATCAATGAGTACACATTTCTTTCAGATTTTGACTTGCTACTTCAAGGCCTGCCATGCTCACGAGGAGATCAAGTGGCTCAATGTTGAGATTTGCCAAGTTGCCACCTACCTGAGGGACAAAGATAAGTATCTGCAAATATGTGAAAAACAGATTTGTCCAGCAAGTCCCGCTCTTGCCTACCAAATACGCATTCATCGCATAGAACGGGGCTCTTTCAACGCACATCATGTATGCCGTTTATTGGACATTGCCAAGCTCCTGGGGTTTAGCGGTATGATAGTACCAGGGGAAAGTACACAAACGGGAACAGGTGAGAGTGGAAGTGTTCCTATGGCAAAGCTACCTTCATTACTTGTACTTGTGTCTCGTTCCCCTTGTGATGGACAGCCAAGTGAAGACAGCATATATGAACAAAGGGATAGCCCAGAGGACCTAGAAGAAGAGGAAGAGGAAGACAAACATGTTGAGGAGGCCTCTGAAGTTTAGGACATAGTTTGCTTTACATTGAGTTGTATTTGCATTCAACGTACATTGTATGCTACTATCATAAGTAAGATTGTCAAACTTGCTGTCTCACACAGTGAGCTCGACCCATTACTAGTATCCGACACACCATAATGTGTGTCTGACGCATCCTGTGACAACATGTGACAAGCTGAGTATTTATGTCATCGCCGGCGGCAGTAAGGAAATGCTGACGCTATTGCAATGACACCACATTTGCACACGTGGGGGATCTGGGTCGCCGGTCCTTTCTGGTGAGCCGTGCTTGAAGGGAGCCTCCAAAGTCTCAGATTTATCCAAGAGATATTGAAGGAGGCCTGCAAAGACAATTCGGGAGGCTAACTAGCCATGCAATCAGCCGGAGGTAGCAAGGCTAATTAGCGGACTTGCGTGGGAATCACAGGTGTGTAAGAGGAAATAAAATTTAGGTATGTTTAAATGGTCCCTGACTCCAAGACGAATAAGGATATCTTTGTGTTGGTGAAAAATATTGAGAGATCAGGCAAGGTAGCCCAAGGTGGTATCATCATGCGTCAGGTATTGTGCTATCTCAATAAAGTCTAAAAGTGATTGGTAGGTGATGATAGCATGATATGGAAGTTTGCCAATAAGGCATCCCAACAGTATCTTTGCCATATCTTTCCGTTCCTTCCCCCCTATTTGACCAAGAGCAGAAAAGCCATTCTTGAAATAACAAACACCAAAGCAGGGAGGAAGTGCTCTGATGTGTGCATCAAGTTCCTTAGGATCTAGTAGTTTCTGGCACCAATGCACCATGTGCTTGAAAATGCCCTGGTATAACTGGTGGAGGACATCAGGAGTGATTGCAATATGTTACAGTGAGGAAAACCGGTCCAAAAAGGCTTGTAGATAGATTCAGATACTAGTTTCTCCTTGCACCTCTCTTGAAACTGATAGAATGAATGTGTATCTTCCTTAGCTTTGTTGAATACTGACTCTGTCCATTGATCAGTATGTGGCTCTCCTGCAGTTGAGGCTGAAAGCTCTTCTGGAGGTAGTTTGCATTTGGGGCAGGTACCATATTTTGAGCACGTCACCAGACACTGCTCTGGATAATCGGCCACATAGCAGGCTAGCACATGGTATACTCTTCTCACTGCTCCATCTCCTCCTACCACCTCTATCTCATCCCTCCCAGCTTTTTTCAATGGGTCCAAAATAATCTTCATCGACTCATAAAATAGTCTCTGCACTCTGGATGATTTTTCTCTCGAAGTGAGTTGCATGCCTATGTTTTTGCTTACAGACAAGTAGCCAATTAAGATACAGGCATGCTGGCTTGGCCTCCGTTGTATTGCACGTGGAATATTGCCCAAAGTCAGATATACAGGATAGGCAGATTTGGAATCTGAGAACTGCGTCAATTGTGTTTTGTCTGTAGTAATTATGACTGGTGAAAGAGCTGCTCCCTTAGGTAGACGTGCCTGCACACATAAGAGTCAACATTCAAATAAAAATAATATCCAGCGTAATACTGACCTGGATTGCATGCCACCACTTTCCAGTCCACATTTCATTGTAAATTCTATTTTCTTTCTGTGCATTACTGAATATCTTCTTAGGTTTGTAGACGATGTGTTTTGCATGGGCTGGGTTGCCAAGGAGGCTACAAATGGCAGAAAGGATGTCACGGTAATGAATTAGATGCTTGTCATCAGGGGCATCTGGGAATGCAATGGTTTTTGACGTCCAATCAGCTCTGGATGGAATACCAGAGTCAACTATCTTGTGTAGCCCTCTAATGTTGTGATAGGACAATCCAAGTCTCTCTTTGACCTGAAACAATGGCTTCTTTAAGGAGATCCAGGAAGTAATAAAACTATGTGAAACTCAGCCGCTGCCGAAGAGGCTATAGAAATGACTTTATTATTTACCTATGTGAAACTACAATTGATGTTAGTTTAAGGTAATCTCTAATAAATGTAATGTAACATACCTCAGCCGCTGCCTGAGAGGCTATAGAAATGACTGAGGTATTTCTATACTAAGCCCCCTACTACTTATAGTCGGAGGTGCTACTCGCTACAGTACAATGACTCCTAGGAGAATAATGGTGACTCCATGGAGTGGTGGCTATGCTCCATGGAGAACAATGGCTGCTTCGGCAGAGACCCGGTTTATCCGGTTTTGTCAGGAAGTGAATAGAATAAAGACATACCCCTGGAATAGCTAACAAACGGTCAAATGATTTGTGACCTATTCCATTCTGGATCGCCCAACAGGTGACTTGCCAGTCTGTTTCTGATGCAAATGGAAAGAACCTAGTATTCTGTGGTCCAGAGGCAACTGGGAAATTATTATCCATATCCACATCCCCATAACTGTCTACAGCCCCTCTTGCAGCTTCAAACTCTTTTCTCCATCTCTCATGCAAGGTATGGTCCATACATATTATCTGACCTGCTGTAGGGTGGAGAATTTCTACACGCTCATTATCATTATAATTCAGGGAAATGGCATTTGGATGATTAGAAGGACCCGCTGCCTCCCCTGGCTTCAGATCCTCCTGTTCAGGTTGCTTGAGTGGGATGAATGCATTCCACCAGCAATCCTTGCCTCTCCAAGTCACCATCCTGCTGGGTTAGGATCTCTCTCAATTTACCCTTGCGGTACCAAGCACAGCTTATTGCAGAGCTAAGGTGCGTATTGAGGGCACGAGTGCTGGAAAAAGATTTGCCACATGATGCTGGGCATGGGTGAGGAGTATTACGGTTGACAAGCATTTTGTTAGGTTGGAGAATGAGGAACGATGATTGCTACAGAGAACCCAATTTTACAGATGTCCAACAAGGTCACATTACAAATACATGACTATTTAGTACGAGGGCGCTTAGAATCTGCAATATCAGAAGCAAGGAACGAAGACAAGGCATTATGACGGCGTTTAAGAGATTGGAGAGTAACAGCTTGCAGACGATTGGATGCCTTGACTGCCTGAAGAGAGGATGCGGAGGAAGTGATCAAATCCGAATACCTTGCCATACTTCCACTGGTCCCCTTTGCACCTGAAACGTAGCTCAACACCAAAGGGGCCTGGAATGCAAATCGCTCGTCGTCGGATCTCCAAAGATCCAGATGATGGACAAACCCTGACGGTCTGCTAAAAGGCCTCCTCAGATCCTTCCACCTTTCATTGCGTTGAATTTCCTCTAGAGCTTCCCGGAGGATATCGAGAACATTGTCATGGGAGGCATGCGACAGTACAAAGAATGGTGGCGGACCTGCCTCTACAAATCTCTTTGAGAGGAACAATGTGGACCCAAACAAAGCCTTGCAGAGGCGCTTGAAGTAAGGGATCATAAAGGCGAAGTATTCAGATACATTGTTTTCAAGAAACAAGCTGAGACCATCGACTCTGCCAAAGGTCTGATACTTGTGGAAAGCAGCGTCAGAGCGGGTAAACGTTGAAGTGAACTCGGGATTTAGCCATTTCTTGATGTCGTCCTTTTCTTTAGCATCTGCATCTTTCATCTCATACGGCTTTACCATCAAGACACACATGGCCAGCAATACGTAATAGAACGACTCCAGGTCGTGATGGGCAGTGTGTCGAACCCAGTCACCAGGCTGTGCATTTTGCACTTCCACCGCCATAAAAGGCTCTGTCCCCTGTAAAAAATACATAAAACAAAATAATTGAACGATGGCCGATATAAACACTTACTGTACGCTCAAGAACATGATTTCCATTACCAACCTGCCAGCCCTCCTCACTCAACCGTTGTATAACCTCATCAAGAGTACCCTCTGCAACATCCAACGTCCACTCAGGTTGATTATGACGTAAAAATGAATCCGACGAATAGACACTCTGGTCGGAGCGGATTATTTCTTCCTCGTGGTTAACGGTGGATAGCATGGACTTCACCAACTCTTGCAGCTTCTGGACGTCACCAGATTTCAATCCAAAATAGTGGTCATCCTGGTCTGAATCTTCAGACACGTCATCTGAACGTTCCTTTGAGTCGTCTGAATGCTCCGCTAACTCTTCAGTATCTTCAAATATAGCTGCAAATCCCCAGTCTGCAAGTAAACCCCTCCGTATGTGAGTATCGGGAGGTGCACATCCCTCTGGAGCTTTCAAAGGGGGCCAGTCAGACAGTGCTTGATCCACGATAAGGGAGTTGCTGATTGAGCCATCCCGGTGTAAGACTTTCACAGGAACTTGGCCTGAAACAGAGGTCCCCATCGCCATCTTGTGACCTAGTTAATGTTAGTATAGACAAATAAATGGTGGGTATGATACTCGCTTTTGATGAGATCAATGATCACAACAAGGAGCTCCTCTAGGCAATTAAAATCTGTTATAATTGCACCAGCAGGTGTAGTCGTTGAACGAATGTGAACACGCAGTTGGTAAGGGTGGTGTGGATGAGCCAAAGCTCGGGCCCTCTCCTTGGCTTTCAGGGATAATGTGGAGCCAAGGGCATCACGAATATTGGACGTGGAATTATATTCTGGACTTTGGCTTGATTGATCATGCTGGGCCCATCGCTTTGAGCTGCGAACTTTCTCTTCACAAATGAGACGTGGGACTCCCTTTACTCCTTTTGCTTCAAGCAGGCGAAGAATTGTACCCTCAGTAAGACGGCGGCGAGTATCATGCCAAGTATCCTTCACTATCAGATTGACACCTTTTAACCGCAATATCCATGGGTCGTCTGATCTCCTCAATATAGGTATTTGTGCTCGCCTGACTACAGTTCCACGCCCATGGATGCTGTCAGAAATGAAGAGAATACAGTGAACCTTCAATTCACCCAAAGCGCTGACGCGAACATAATTGGGGTTAGCCCCAGTATCGTAGCCCAAACACTCGTCTGAGCCATGGGAAAACCCAAGGAGAAGGTGAAGGAAAAGAGTCGGTTGCTGGTGAAGATTGAGTTCAAACGTAATGATTGAGCCACCCTGATCCATGTAGAGCAAAGTGAAGGAAGAACCCCGTATAGAAAGACCTTAAA